AATCTAGTCAACAAAAAAACATGGCTGCTTTCATAATGATATGTCAATATTTTTTTAATTAAATGAACCCAGACATTTTTCACCGACACGGCAATTAGTTTCGCCGAAAATTTAAGTCTTGTGGTAGTTACGTAGTGTATCATATGAATAGTCCCGTCCGACTATACTGCTCTGTTCACTGGAAAAAAAAACATTGGAAAATCAAATCCACCATGTGAAACATACGGAAACTTTAATGTGTCAATGTGAAATCGAATTGGAGTGATATTAAAAATTTTGAAAATATCTTGGAACAAAAAAAAATGCTAAAAAAAGTGCTAGGTGCTAGATCAAATTTTTTGGTGCTAAACGAGTTTAAAAAGTGCTGAATTTGGCACTAAAAGTGCTAAATTGGCAACACTGCTTAGAAGTAACACGCACACACAGAGTCATTTAACGGTCCATTCAAATTATGTTTCCTTAGCAGTACCAGTTCACAACCCGATCTCACGAACATATTCTGTTCCCAAACAGAGGCATCTGCTGTGGCCTAAACAGCGACATAAACACTTCGATCTCGCACAGAGATTTCATGTTCCGGTCTTATGTAAAACATAAATATTCCTATCTTATCAGAAATTGATGTTGTGTTGTACCACTTTAGTAAATACTTTCTCAGAAAAGCTTTAGCCCCCTACCTTTATGGAACCATATGTTTGCTCACTCTTCAGATACTTTGGGTTCGTGTACTCAGGACTTGGTGATTATTCTCCACAGATCCAATTAGGCCGCTTCTTTTACCATAAGTTGTCTACTTTCCCAAAGAATTAAGCAAAATGGGCAATTAATAAAAGACGCGATCATTTCAAATCGTAATTTTTTTAACCAAAATCCAAGGCAAGAATAACCCTTTATATTTTTTCGAAATTAAATACTGTCATTGACATTATCTATTTATATTTTAATTGGTTCTCTGCGGCTTAAAATCGATTTCTTCGATAATTTTCAAATATTTAATTGTCCCATGTTAAATGAGCTGACTGCAACAAATAACCAAGCTATAAAATTGTTTTTCGTAATTGATTGATGTATCAATTTTCATGATTGCTAATTAAAATTTTACATTTGATTTTGAAAACAAAAAACATGTCTCCTGAAATTTATCACTTGACGACGTGGCGTTATTAGGTGTTAATTATCAATGTGCATAATGTTGAGAATATTCAAATTAATGAAATAAAAATTAAAAACAAATAATATTGTTGGCACCATAATTTGAATAATGAAAACGTAAACACATAAAATTTCAAATCAAGTGACGATTTCTGTATAATTAATTACGTAAATTAAAAAAATAGTAATGAATATTTCATTATGATAAGAAAGAACGAGTATTGGGCCATGCGTACATTTCTGGTGGTGGATATTTTGTTTTATATATTGTTTTAAATAAAATGATTTAAAAACCAGTAAGGAAAGTAGTAAAGTCGGACGGGGCCGACTATATGATACCCTTCACCACTTTGAGTATATTCAACAGATGAATCCTAACAGAAGTCGCATTTTTAAAGAACCAGTAAAATGAAATTGGAACCATAAACACGTCATTCTGCAACCGATACTAAATTGTTCATTTGGTCAGATATAGAAGCTATATCTAAATCTGAACCGATTTCAGGAAACTTAACACACATCATTCTAGACCTAATTTGCTACGCTGTGCCAAATTTCGAGCAAATCGAAAGATATATAGGGACTTTGGTGCACCATTTACATTAAATCTGACGAAAGTATATGTGGGAGCTATATATAAATCTGAACCGATTTTCAGGCAACTTTACACACATCATTCTAGACCTAATTTGCTACGCTGTGCCAAATTTCGAGCTTAAATCGACTCAAAAAGTGATTCTATGCATATTCTCAAAAGGAGCCATGGGTCTATCTCGATTATTTTTGCATGTTACAAACATATGCACAAAACCAGTAAGGAAAGTAGTAAAGTCGGACGGGGCCGACTATATGATACCCTTAACCGCTATGGGTATATTAAACTGGACTATTAGCATGAAATTGGATGAAATAAAATATGTGATATTTATCTAAATGTTAATCTACGTAGATCTATCCATAAAGTATGTAAATCGACTTCAAACAAATATAAATGGGTCATCAGTTGGGCTATGTCTGTACTTCTAGAAAACGCAACTACATAATTCTATGCTCAATTTTGTACGTTGTGCAAAATTTGATGTCAAACTGACTAACATGAGGAGTTTGATGCCCAATTTACTTGAAATCGGGCGAAAATATATATAGAAGCTCTATCCAAATATTAAGCGATTTCAAACAAACTTGTGACAGAAGGTTAGACTAATTTCAGAACGTTTTGTTCCTATTGGTTCTTGGTGCGTCAATTACTTAAAATCAATCTATAATAAAAAGGAGCTATATCTAAATCTGGACCGATTTTCACGAAACAACGCAGACATCACTCTAGGCTCAATTCAGTACGTTATGCCAAATTTTGTGCAAAACGAAAGATATATAGGGACTTTGGTGCAACATTTACATGAAATCGGACGAAACTATATGTGGGAGCTATATAGAAATCTGGACCGATTTTCACGAAACTTGGCAGACATCATTCTAGACTCAATTTAGTACGTTATGCCAAATTTCGGGCAAATCGAAGGATATATATGGACTTTGGTGCACCATTTACATGAAATCGGACGAAACTATATATGGGAGCTATATGTAAATCTTGACCTATTTTCACGAAACTTGGCAGACATCATTCTAGGCCTAAATGATTAGGCTGTACCAAATTTCGTGCAAATCAAAAGATATATAGGGACTTTGGGCACCATTTACATGAAATCGGACGAAACTATATATGGAAGATATATCTAAATCAGGACCGATTTTCATGAAACTTGGCAGACATCATTCTGGGCTCAATTAAGTACGTTATGCCACATTTCGTGCACCTCGAAGGATATATAGGGACTTTGGTGCACCATTTACATGTAATCGGACGAAACTATATATGGGACCTATATCTAAATCTGGACCGATTTTCTCGAAACTTGGCAGACATCATTCTGGGCTCAATTAAGTACGTTATGCCAAATTTCGTGCAAATCGAAGGATATATATGGACTTTGGTGCACCATTTACATGTAATCGGACGAAGCTATATATGGGAGCTGTATCTAAATCTGGACCGATTTTCTCGAAACTTGGCAGACATCATTCTAGGCTCAATTCAGTACGTTATACCAAATTTCGTGGAAATCGAAAGATATATAAGAACATTAGGGCACCATTTACATGAAATCAGACGAAACTATATATGGGAGCTATATCTAAATCTGGACCGATTTTCTCGAAACTTGGCAGACATCATTCTGGGCTCAATTAAGTACGTTATGCCAAATTTCGTGGAAATCGAAAGATATATAAGAACATTAGGGCACCATTTACATGAAATCAGACGAAACTATATATGGGAGCTATATCTAAATCTGGACCGATTTTCTCGAAACTTGGCAGACATCATTCTGGGCTCAATTAAGTACGTTATGCCAAATTTCGTGCAAATCGAAGGATATATAGGGGCTTTGGTGCACCATTTACATGTAATCGGACGAAGCTATATATGGGAGCTATATCTAAATCTGGACCGATTTTCTCGAAACTTGGCAGACATCATTCTTGGCTCAATTCTGTACGTTATACCAAATTTCGTGCAAATCGAAAGATATATAAGAACATTAGGGCACCATTTACATGAAATCGGACGAAACTATATATGGGAGCTATATCTAAATCTGGACCGATTTTCACGAAAATTGCCAGACATCACTCTAGGCTTAATTCAGTACGTTATGCCAAATTTCGTGCAAATCAAAAGATATATAGGGACTTTGGGGCACCATTTGTATGAAATCGGACGAAACTGTATATGGGAGCTATATCTAAATCTGGACCGATTTTCACGAAACTTGGCAGACATCACTCTAGGCTTAATTCAGTACGTTATGCCAAATTTCGTACAAATCAAAAGATATATAGGGACTTAGGGGCACCATTTACATGAAATCGGACGAAACTATATATGGGAGCTATATCTAAATCTGGACCGATTTTCACGAAAATTGGCAGACATCATTATAGGCCTAAATGATTAGCCTGTACCAAATTTCGTGCAGATCGAAAGATATATAGGGACCGTTTACATTAAATCGGTTAAATATATATATGGGAGCTATATCTAAATCTGAACCGATTTTTCCCAATTTCAATAGGGTTCGTCCTTGGGCCGAATAAGTGACCTATGCCAAATTTCATCCAATTCGGATCATAAATGCGACCTGTACTTTGTTTACAATTTAACATGGACAGACAGACAGACGGACAGACGGACGGACGGACGGACGGACATGCATAAATCGACTTAGAAAGTGATTCTATGCATATTCTCAAAAGGAACCATGGGTCTATCTCAATTATTTTTGCCTGTTACAAACATATGCACAAAGACATAATACCCTGTACCACAGCGTGGTGAAGGGTATAAAAAGAAAAAAAATTAAAATTTCAATAGTCTGTTAATGAGTATTGAAATTTTAAAGAAATTTGTATGTAATACCAAACATCTACTAATTAAGTCCCTTTCTTTTTTTCTTTACAGGATAATTAGAAAACAAGTTCAACAATTTTGAATATTATATTACAACCGAAGAGCAAAAACTTTGCTGGAATATATCCCAACCTGTGTACTGAGATTCAAACCGAATGCAGTATTTTAACTACGCCATACAAACATCCTCTCGTTTCCTAACCTCAACTGCCGCCAACAACCAAAATCCCCAATACCCCATCCCTCATCCCAGTGGGACCAGTAGTGAACACTCCCAGAACAAAGAAGATTTAGTGAACGCCAACGCCATCTCGTCATCCCCTGCCTCTTCGTCCACCACAGCGACCACTGCTACATCTACAGTAGCAACCCCTGCATTGCCCACGGCCAGTGCTGCGGACGTCGATCCTACACAAACTCCATGAAATTTACTCACTACATTTAATGTTAACTTTGCGCGAAACAAACTGTTATCATTCTTTAATCGCGATATGGCCGCTACCGATGGCCAAATAATATTGGCCGCATCCCGTTTCGGGGATACAGCAACATCGCCGCCGGTCTATTTGCGTGACTTTTCCAAACAAAAACTACCGGCTGTTGCGAAAATTGTCAAAGGTCAACATCAAAATTTGGGCGTACCCACCCTATCGGCACCCTCGCTACAAAGTACCGCCCTATTCCTGAGCTCTGGCAAAAAATATCAAATTCTAGCCCAGCCGATTAAATTGAAAGAGGGCCGCAAGCCGACAAATGTTGGTGCTAAAGTTCTAATACCCGAAACATATCCCGGTTTCTTTGAACTGCTCAGCGAAGATGGTCGTTCGACACGATGCATTGAATCGGTATTGGAATTATCGAAGCGACGTAATTGTCGAGTGTTGGTGCGTGAAACATTTCGTTGTCCCACAATGAATCGGACCATACATGCTGGTGAATTGCTGACCACCATGAATGACAATGGCAAAGTGCTGCAGTGCAGGAACATTAAGGATGAGATCATAAATTTGCCACTCGATACCAAAGCGAAATTTTCACCGATAGCTAAGGAGGATAGTATTAGTGGTGTACATACGGTGAAGAATCTGCTGCTAAAGCGTATGCCAATAGTTGTTAGGTAAGTATGTAGAAAATATTAAATGATAAGCTATAAAATTGGAAAGTATTAGACGTTGAGCATATGTTAGGCAGTATATGGAATGTTGAATTGTCTTAAAGGTTGGCAGGTTTTAAGAATCCAAGCATTATTAGGGGGTTTATAGATCCTTATGGGAACTGCATTATTTTTCCAAATCCTTGTGTCATCAAATTAAATGTTTTGCCGTCCATCCATCCTCACTGTAGGTACTTAGAAAATACTTTGCAATATATTTGAACACTCACCATTTAAGGATTCCGCCCTATTAGGTAATCTGAAGTTTTCAGCTGCATTTTGATGCCAAAAATGTTGTAATTTGGCATTTCTCCTTTCCACAGGATGTAAATTCCTCGAAGAATATTATCTTTGTATGTCTATGCTTAAGCATAATCTTAATATTAAAAGTCAGTCTATATTTTTAAAATTTGAAGAGTTCTATATAATTTCCATAAAACCTACCATTTCTGGAACAAAATTCCAACAATTTTTTTTTAATTCAAAATATTTTCTGGTGATGTAAAACCTAGTACCACTTTCTCAACCCCCATTAACATTTACCCAATTTTTCTTCATCTCACACAGATTAGTTCACGGAAGCGTACCCAAGGGTCTAAAACAACCATTCGTTCCCGAAATGCGTCTGCTGGGCTGTGTCGAAATCGATCGCATCTTCGCCCTACCCCTGCAAAAGGACAACGATCTGGTGCCAGTTCCACTCAATGCAAAAATCAAATTGCAACGAGCCAAAAATATGGATCAACTGGAACATTTCATCGAGTACAGCCGTTTCCTCGACAAAGCACAGCGTTTGCTGTGCGATGCTCGTGATCGCTTGCAAGTCGTCGATATCAAGTTGTCCGAGAAGGAGAAAAAGGACTCGAAATTTAGTAATCGTAATAAATTACCCGTGGTTATGTTGCCATCAGCGGCCGGTGTGGCATATGTGGCCAATGGCTTGCTCGAGAATGGTTATATTCTGAAACGTAGTGCCAGCTGTGATTCGTACAGTAAAAATCCACCACCCGCCGAAATATCGGAAGAATACAAGGACATCGATCATATCTATGACTATGTACGGGGTTTGGCTCCACTGACGAAAGCTTTATCGCGATTTGAGCCGATTAATGAGACGCCCACAATTAAGTCACAGTATACCGACAGTAGCGGTAATTACTGCAGTCTGATACGTGTTAACCCGAATTCAAATGGCCATAATAACAATAACAACAACAACAACAATTCGAATAGCAATAACAACAGTTTAAATAACAGTGGTGGCAATATTAGCAACAACAACAACAATTATAGTAGTCTAGAATCGAACAAGCACACCAACACGAACAGCAGTCACAACAGCAGCAGCAATCACAGCCATCACCATCATCACTCGCATCATCTGCCACCGGCCGTCAGCGGCCATCATCATCACCACCCGAATCACTCACATAATCATCTGACACCCACCAGCGGTCATGTAGTCAATCATTACCAACACAGTCATGTCCAGGAGGACATTAAGCCAGTGCCACCACCTATCGAGACAATTCCGGGTAAAAAATTACCCGAGAAACGACAGCGACCCACACTACCAAAGCTTTACTTGAAAAATACACACAGTGCTGGCAGCAGCAGTGGTGGCGGAGGTGGCATGAGCGGTGGTGGCAACACCAACACAAGCAGTTCGAATGGTAGTCACCATCATTCACATCATCACCACCAGCAACAACATCACAGCCATCATCATAGTCATCAGGCGTCGGCGGTGGTTAATGTTAACGCCTCGGCGTCTGCCGCCGTTGTGGCAGCTGTAGCGGCCCATCATCATACGCACCATCATCCGCATCACAATAACGGTACGAGTGGTGGTCGCGTCTTAACGCCAAGCAATCATCATCACTCCCCCCTGAATGGTGTTGTAGGTGGAGCACCGTTAAGTGCTGGCATTTTGAATAAGGATTGTGGCATGGAACCACAATCGCCACTGTTTCATATTCGGTAAGTGAGGGATATGACTGACTATTGAGTGTGTTGTAATGTAAATATTTAATATGTAAGTATAGTGATGAGATTCTAGTGTTTTCCTTGTATGTCTTCCTTGGATATAACACCTTGTCATAATGTAGAGTTGTAAGCATTTACGTATGTTCAGATTGGCTGGTAAAATTCGTTTTAGAAAATTAGCCATATTTTGAACCCTACGTAGCTGTAATTTGACAATTTGGGTTCTCAACGCAGACATTTTCATATGTTTTAGGTGCTGGCAATATTTTCAACCGAAGTGGCCATATGCTCATATGTCCTAGGTGCAACTTCGATTTTTTGTAGTCAGGGGCTATATATACCGCAGATATTTTCCCATTTATATATTTTTAAGGTCCTAGCAGTATTTTCAACCGAATATATGTTCAATATATGTTCATGTTTCAAAATGTCCCCTTTCTCTGTCGGAGACTATTATACTTTGTTAACAACTACGAAAATGAATTATATCGGAACAGGTCCAGGCACAGCCTTATTCTATAATGTTATAAAATGTAACTATCCTAAGCCTAATTTAAGCCTAATTAACTGCAATTCAGCACTTTAGCTTGGAGAATAAATACCTGACCACAGACATTTTTCCTTTATATATTTTAAAGGTCCTCGAAAGTCCTAGTCCTAAGATCAATATAGGATTATGTTGCAAAATAGCCCCATATGTAGACCTCAGTTATTTTCTATCGGGGGCAATTATATTTTAAAATTAATATATATGTAAGGTCCTAGCAGTATTTTCAACCGAAGGGTTTAAATACCCATAAGTCCTAGGTTCAATATAGCTTCAATTTTTTTTAAATAGCTCCTCTGTTAACTACTTCGAAGAGGTGTTTTTCGGATCACGTTCAGGCACGCAATCCGTATAAAAAGTAAAAAAATGCCACCTTCAGTATTAATCTAGGCTTGGTAAAAATAATAGATTGTTCCAAGTTTGGTCCAAATCGGACATTCCATTCGCCCGATATTGAATTTACAAATACTGAAATTTTTGACCATTTGTGTGGGAGGTACCAGAAGGAGTGAACCAAAGGGTCCATCTTCGAATTTGATCCAGGCTGGGTAATGATAATAGGTTGTACAAAGTTTGGTTCAAATCAGATATTCCGCATGATTTTAGCACATTGTTGCCATGCTAGAAGGAGTGGACCGATATTCCCCACGATCGAACTGAAACTAAGTTTAAAAGAAATATTATGATGTGCAAAGTGAAATCGGTTACTCCTTTTGACAGATAGACAACAGACATTTGTAAATCGACTACAAATCGTCTGAAGCGGATTTCGGCCAAAGAAACAGAGGGGGTTAAAACCTATATTTCGATGAAACACATTTTTACCGTAGCATTTAGCCATAAGTTTAAGGGTATAATCACAGGTCCTTGTTAGAATCTCCCCCTTTTATCACCCATCCGGCACAATATTTATTTAATATAATTATTTTATTTTCTTTTTCGCTTATTTTATTTTTTATAGTTACAAAAGTCTCAGTAGTCTGCAATTGACACCCGATAGCACCTCCATTTCACCGCCGATCTCAACCAATCCCAAAGGTCAATCCATAGTCGCACCATCCGATCTAGTAGTACTTAAATGTAGTAGCAACAGCAACAACAACATCAGCTGCCATCCAGCACCATTACCGCTGAGTAAAAGCTCCAGTACAACGGGTGGCCTGACGGGTATGCTGCACTCATCACATCCACATAATCCGCGTGAAGGTACCCTCGACTCGTCGCGCAGCGGTGGACGTACATCGGGCGATTCGAATAAATTGCCCGAAAAGAAAACGAGACGTTTGTCGAGGCCTCGTAGTTTATCGAATTTAGTCTGGGATCTAAGGCCATCCAAAGAAAAGTCCAAAAAGAAACTTTACATCCATCATTTCGATCATCGTCAACAGGCGACATTGTATTTGTAGTAGTCGGGCGGCAAATCTGTTGCAATTGCATGTCGGCAATGTTTAGAACTATGACTCTAAAGCACAACATCTATAAAGACAACAGTCAGTCAGACATATGGTGTTGGTGCGTTTGTCATAATGTCTGCTGTTGGCCTGTTCATTAACCCAAAAATAAAGAAAAAATAAGAAACGAAGAAAAACAAACAACGACATACTCCTCTCTAGCATAAACAAGATGTATTTGAGCCTATAACGCCTACTCATAGTTACAACAGATCACCATTATTAGCCTCAGCTTCACAGCTTTACCACCTCATCATTGTCATTATCGTCGTCATCGTTTAGCCTCCACGTCCACAAATACTTCTAATTCTTCTTCTTGTTCTTGTGCTTTTTTTCGACTAAATGTTGCCATCATTAACAGCGCCAAGCAGAACAGCAACAACAACAGAAACAGAAACACCACAGCCATCATTTTCGACAACATCAGTGTTTAAGTGTTCGCAGAATAGAACGAATGAAGGAGCGAAGGAAGAAAGGAAGGAATTATTCCAGTGCATATTTATAAGGTGAGTAAATTTGCAAATCTAACTGAAAACAACAACAGCTACAACAACAACTAAAAGCTAATGACGGCTAGAAAAGAAAACCAAAACAAACAAAAAAAACTTTAGAACATTGTTAGGAGTAGTGAATCATCTTCCATTCGGCCCCATGTGGTGCTGAGCCCCTACCAATAAACTAAACTAATGCCAATCACGTAAACATACTTTTGTTGCTGTTGTTGTTTTTGTTGTCGTTAAGACCCACAATAATAACAACAACAACGGCGACAACAACAAAAAACTAAAGAGGTGTTGATTTTGATCTATGAATTATTACCCGTCATTAAATTATAATGGCGAACATATTTAAATCGCGTTATTGTTGATCTTTTAATGGCGGGATATTGTTAGACCCTCTTTTTTATTCTTAGAAATAGATATAAAAAAACACAAAATATTGTAAAAAAATAAATGGGTCTTTTATGTGAGAACATAGAAAATCACAAAACTTTTAAAGACACAAATATTTATGAACTCTATCACTGGGGTTAGGGGGTACCTATCCTTTTCTTAAAATATTTATAATGGGGAAATATACAAAAATACAGTTTCCAAAATTTATCTAATAGCATTAGCAAGCATTATATCTTGATTTGTAGCTATTGTACATTATTATGTATATAATATATCTAGGACGAAAAAGAATGAAGAATTTTTCGGTAGAATATTTCGTAACTCAAACTCATAATGCGTGCACTAATAACAACAAATAGCACATCTTTTGTTATCTAGAAATACCATAAAAATATTCATTACAAAGAACTTCTACATCCGAGTACAAACATCAATATAATTGGTATCAATTTCAAGGACAACCTCTCCTCTTGCATATATTGTCAAGTTCTTCGGTCTACGGTCTGGAGTATAGGCATTAGTCATTGGAATAAATTTTTTTTTAAATTAAAATTTATTTAATATAGATCGATAACACTGTGTGACAAAATCGAGGTCATGGTCTGGATGATGGAAAATTCCTATTGGAAATAAAAGACCTTGATGAGTCGTTTTTTTTTTTTTTTTTTTTTTTTTGCTGGCGGCAAATAGCTACAAATCATATCTTGATTTGTAGCTATTGTATGTATATTTAAAGATAATATTTCTTCTTGTGTATAATTTTTGTCCTTAATTTATTGAAGCGGACTCAAATTACGACAAAATGCGATTTTTTTATCCTTGCAATATTTTACAAACATTTTTGAACCGTATATACAGATAATAAAACGGTTTCAATACCTTCTACGCATATCACTAGAAAGCTAATAAACAAACGTGCTAAACGTTTTATTGTCTGAATATCTGGTTCAAAAATCTACGATACCGGTTCTTTCTTCCACGATTTTTTTTACCTTTTTGACTTAACTATATATGTTTTTTAGAAAAAAAATTCGGAAGTATCCGACAGTTCAACAAAATACAGGTCGCATTTATCCGACAGTTCAACAAAGTACAGGTCGCATGAGATTAACATTGTGAACGGTGGCACTTATGTGGTCCATGGACGAACCTTATTAAAATTGGAGAAAATCGGTTCAGATTTAGATATTGCTCCAGTATATATTTTCGTCCGATTTTTTGTAAATGGTTCACCAACGTACTGAACTGACTACTCCCATATATAGGTTTTTCTAACTTTATGTAAATGGTGCCCTAATGGTCCCACAGTTTGTCCGATTTTGACGAAATTTGGAATACCGTACTGTACTGAGTCTAAAATAACGTGTATTACGTTTTGTTGATATCGGTTCAGATTTAGACATATCTCTCATATATGTGTCCGTCCGATTTCATCTGAACGGGGCTGCATGTAAGCAATAATTGTACGAATGCATTTTCACGGAGTAGCTTAGAGAGCTTACAATACAGTGTATTAAATTTCGGTTAAACCGGTTCATAATTCTATAAAACTATGATATACATATCGCTCATTTGCTGCAAAGACAAAAGTAGACCTCATGTTGTGTAAACAATTCATATGAATATTTCCTCTGTCCCATATAAAGTGTGAGTAAATTGAAAACATAAAACGCATTTTCTGCAAAATCGTATTTTTGAGTTATGCCTGTCTTGCAGCAAATGAGCGATCAAATATTTAATTGGTCTCCCATAGATATACGATAAAAATATTGGAATACTTGGATAAGAATATAAGAATATTTGTATTTACCCAAGTATCATATATCATATAGTCGGACCGGTCCGACTTTTGATTATTCATATCAGGTTTTAAATCTAAGGATCCGCTCCATTTTGAGTATTTCGAAGGGCGAAACAATATTTTTTTATTTTCATCGGATGTTGTCCTTTGATTGTGATTTCGTCCTTTAAGGGGACCCCCCATTCTCGGTGTCAAAAAATTTTATTTAGTTTTTCGAATCTACACTAGTTCAAGAATGTCCCTACAAAATTTCAAGTGACAATCTCAAGAACTCTTGAAGATAAAGATTCTCAAACTTTGAACACATTTTTCTCGAAGCAGTGGTTTTAAGAATGGCGGGCACGATAACTCAAAAACTAATAACCCATCGATTTCAAATTTTGGGACGTTTCTCTGTGAGTGTATAGCTATCGTATAAACTAGGATAAAGCCAATCGGTGAAGATCTTCCTTATTTTTTAACTTGGTTTGTGGTCAAAAATAGGCGATTTTCCAAATTTTTTTTTTTCAAAGTTCCGCCATTTTGTTAATTTTTGTGCGAAGTAATTAATCCTAGTTCATACGAGAGCCAGACATATACTCTTTCTACACCGTTGGAATTTTCAGATTCCGATGTTCCAGTGATAAGCTATCATGCCCGCCATCAAAAATAAGAAATTTTCTACAATCATAAAAAACAACAAAAAATTTTTTTGTAAATTATTTTTCTTCCTTTTTAAATCTTCAAATATATATGTGCCAAGTTACAAACCTTAACAAGCATTGGTATTCATTTACCAGCCCGTTTAAAATCTTATAAATAAAAAAATGGAGATGGGGGGTTCCCTTAAACAGCTCAGTAGCTCTTTGTAGGGGAGACTGGGGCACCTTCGGCACTTTTTTTAGAGCTCTATATCTCAGTACTTATTCAATATATATAACAACTTTATGGCTGATTATTGTCCTCTGACACTTAACTATAAAAATAGTACCAAAAAGATATAAAAAAATAGTATTAGTTAAACAATTGTACAGTTTTGTAAAAAAATTCGCCGAATGTGCCCAACCCGGGGTAGCTTCGGCATTTAATGGGGCACATTCGGCACCATAGTCATAGCCTGGATATTGTAATCGCTATCAGTCTGGTTGAAATTCTGATCATCTAAAGGCTCTATTTGGTTTTAATACGTCACACAATGTTTGAATTATAGGACTTTATTTTCTAGCGGCGGACGTTTACATCTCAAGGTCGCACACACTATAAGAAATAGGGGGTTTCTATCGCATTTTCGTCAATACAAGCACGTTTGAACTTATATATGCAATTTCGAACCACATTAAATTATTAGTTTTAAAGACAAACTCAAAAACATTTTAAGGAAATAATATTGCACTATCTGTATATGGCAGAATGTGCCCCACTTTAAAATGCCGAATGTACCCCGAATGTACTTTTTATAGTTTTTTTCATCTTTTTCGATCAGTCTTGTAAAAACATTATATTTTTAAATATTTCTATAATAATACACATCGTAGTTAACAACTTTTTAATAATATTGTCTTAAAAATTTAAAAAGTTTTGTACACGAAATACTTACGAAATGGAATTGAAATATTATATAAACTTCTATAAAAATACAAAAACTCATGTATCTAAATAAGGTTATTAGCTAGAAATTTCAAACTTTGTGTCAGTTATTTATTTCGATATTCGATACCTATGTATCGAAACTAGTGATGTACGGTGAGTGCTTCATATCGAAAACGCTATTGCCGAAGGTGTCCCGATGCCGAAGGTGCCCCAGTCTCCCCTACTTGTCGTTTGTTTGTGAAAAGTCCACTCGGATTTCAATTGATTGGAATTGGGGGTGAAATCTTGGAGCCATGTTTACTTATTAATCATCTCCAAACACTGCTTCAAATCTTCAGCCCTTATTCGTTTATACTTCAAACCTTAATCAATTGTTCGATGCTTAGAGGTTTCAGTTCAATGGGTTGTTTCGATTATCATAGAAGAAATCCTCTTCTGAGGGGAACTGAACCGTCGACCACGTCTTTCGAATTTAAGAATAAATATTTTTACATTAATGTTATCAGTGTAGTGCCCCATACTTATTTATTGCACACATAATATCGCCATCTCTTAGAATATGTTATTGTATGAATGTTTTTTCTCTCAATTTAATTCACAATTATTTCAATAACGCCACAAAATTGTGAACTAATTATTTGATTTCAAAAATAATCCACATTGGTAAATTAACATATTCTGTTTGCATTTAGA